CAACATGGACCGAACCTACGCGACACCTACAACATCTACAATAAGAGATGCCGTCGCAAGTATACGTGTTCTTGGGGTTGAAAGCTAGGGTTGTCGTCCGCGGTAATAGTCGCGCGCTGGATCATAGTATGGTTGGTTTCCTACTATCCGTTAGCTAACCTGCACCAGATACGTAACAGAACATCTATTCGTCGACTCAAAAATATACGCACCATTGTTATTAGGAACTCGCTCCCTCGGTCGGTTGTCTCTGCAAAGATCAGTGTCGAGCTCAGCTGCACGACAACCTTGGTCGACCTACCTGTAACGGAAGCTATGCCAGAGGTACCATCTCGCGACCCAGTTCTCTTCGTTGACATGGAGCATGTAACGACCGATGTCATAATACGGTCTTGTCTCGGCGCAAGCATCGCGTACGATCATCAAAATGTGCAGATGTTTTGACGTTTCCGACAACTCGTCCCATCTATATGGTTCTGCTACAGAGGGGTCTGCCCTCGATTGCTCGGTCAAATTGTGGCGGTTTGAGCTCAATGCGTTTCTGGCAGCCACAGCTTCGGCCTACGAAAGTCGTGTGGGTTAGCGGACAGCTTTCTATTGTCAGACGGAGACTTACGAGAAGCAATCTGTGTGTACTCTCACTGAGTTTAAGTCGATTGCAAAGCTCGCTCTTGCTGGCGCTCTGGGAAAGAGGCGGCAGGGTCATGGTATGGCGACGTTCCCTAATAGGATCGTTCATCACGCCAATGGTACGAAAAGAGCAACTCAAGTGAAACTAGATATGAGAAACAGAAAGTCAAGTCACTTTGTCTTGTACCTGGGTTCGACAGCCGTGGAGGAAGATCTTATGGAGTCGCTGTCATGTGACAATCAAGGTCCGTCCCGTCCTCTTTCCTTCCGCTGTGACACGGCGCATACGCCACATTATGAGATAATGGAGATCCGATTCGAGAAATACCCATTTCCCACCCTTACTCGCCTGGCCCCGGCGCCATGCTCTCGAGGTGGCTTCACATGCAGCTAGCGAATCTTAGGTGTTATGCCTGGCCAGCGCCGATCTATTGACGTGGACAGGGTGGATCACATGGGTCTCGCGTATCCTCCCGTGCAGCAACGGCAGGTAGATGCGTCGAAAACCGCTGTCCTGATTTGCCGCGAGGACATAGCTTCAGATCCATGGGCGTGCAGCGATTCATAACAACCTGTAGATCTCTCCACATCATTATACCATCCTGTTGGCGCTAGCTAAATCAGCGATAGTGTAGCTTAGCCTAACGACAAAACAACATCCGCACTGCGATCATCGGGCCGGTGAGTCGAGGACCTGATGCAATCCCGAGAATCAGGTCGACGGACTTGAGCGCTTGTCAGACATGAATACGACAAGCATCCACGGTCGGCAGGGAGATGACTGCTTCGAAGACTTTTCGGACCAGCTAATACCACTCAAGCGCGGAGCTTACGACTACATGGCTCACGAGCGTGGCGCATTGGGCGGAATGGATGGAGCTCGACTCGTAACGCCCAGCTCTTGCGGACCAAAGGCGCTCGAAGAAAAGTATCAGAGTTGGGGAGTGTAGGTGCAAGACAGCACGGCCCGAACTGAGTCACGCCTCGACATGAGATCAATACTCCACTCCATACTTACAGCTCCACGAATCAGCCTACGCGAGACATTCAACTTGCTTGAATTTTCAGCACTTTCGAAGGCCATCTAGCTGTCAACGACGTACCAAGGTGATACATGCCGTATCCGCCCTCAGCTACTGAAAGTAAAGATCGCCGTCAAGTGCAGGTCAACAGACAGAAGTTGAAAGTAATCAGTAAGCCTGGCTTAAAGGCGTCATCGAGGGCTCGATGAGAATCACCATAGAAGCGTGCAAGTTTACACAGCACCATGGACCGGACAGGCATGAGCAGTCCCACAACCGTGTGTTTCGACGGTGAAATGCGCATTTCGCTGCTGGGCGGATCTTGTTCATCGAACATATACCAAATCCAACAACTTCTGGAAGCAATGGAAGGTTTTGCCGCGCCCATGCAGCCTCGTCCAGCCCGGCTAAGCCCGAGCCAAACGAGTCTGCAGCGAGCGCACGGCTGGTGCCCATCGCGAATCGAACTTTCCGAAGGTCAACACCGGTCAGCTACCTGGAAAAGCTATCCCTTGCTTACCGTCATCATGCTGGCTCATAGGTTGACGACAATGAGACACATCCCGTGTCTATTTTCAGTCTTCTCAGCGCACTCGCACCGACTGAATGGATCGCATGAGTGACATATCGCTGATTACCTTCTATTACATCGGTGATAGATGAGTCGGCGGCTTCTCCGTATCCAATCCGCTGCGGCAGTAGCTCTGAGAGCTCGTGGATGGTGTGGACTGGAAGTCGCTTCTGCAGTTCAATCTTGCCAGGCTATCCTGGGACTTTGTCGACGATATATGAAGGTACATGGAGAAGAGGACGTACGACCAGCCACATGTGCTCGGAACACAGCTCTATGATTGTCACGACCGCGATAGGCTACATGTTCCATGGTGAACCTAGCCAACACCTCGCTACCCCAGCCTTAAGTACGTCGCTTCTGTGGAGACTGCGTCAAACTAACCAGTATGCTTTCCGTGCCGGCGAATCTGGATTAGTGGACCGTTTCGTCTGCTCAACGCATCGTATACAATGTAAGCGGCACGACCCACTTGTTCCCGTCGCCGGCCTGATTGTACGGATCCGGCTTGTTTTGCCGATCATTAGGCTCTGATTGTGCAGCCTGTGAACAGAGGCTATGGAAGCTATGCAAAACCAGCATTCTCGATGGAGCCATTTGCGAAATGCGTAGGTGATCTTCGAATCCCTCGCTAAGCACATGCTTGTGCAATCAATTATGGATGAGCGCTCTGTCCATGAATAAGGGTCATGATCTCACAGCGGCGCTAGCCAAAGATAGGCAGGCTGGGGCATAGGGTCTGCATGCAGGAGAAACCGCCACGAGCAAATTGGAGCGATGTACTTGCGTACGGGAGGGTCCGACGTTGAGGTCGAAGAAGCACAGCAACAGCTTTTGCTTTTGCGCATCATCGCCAATCCTAGGAAGGGTCGTGGGGCTTAGGGGCTACGAGTACAGAGCATTTTGATTGGATGGCCCTCCGCACACAGCCGCGTCGAACATGTTCCCTTCGCTAGAACAGAAAACACTGGAGCTATCTTCTAGGCGGACTGCAATGGTCGTACGATTCGGGAGACTTGAGTCGGCGAATGCCATGGCCTTGGTCATGCCCTCCGAGTGGTGAATGAGCCGCCACGAGATACGACAGGGCGGTTGCACAGGAGCAGGTTATGGCTGCTCCTGCCTAAACAATACAACCTCGGAAAGGGCGCTGCGGAAGACCTGCTACTTCCCAGGATGCCCTGCGGCGCACAAACAAAGATGCTCTGCTATCAGCAGGGTCCCACACTCATGCACATTATGATCTAGCATCGATCGGATCTCATCTTTGACAATATCGATGACAGGACATGAGCATGATGCCTACAGCACAGCCCCGCGACGCCAGTCTACTAGACCGTAGCAACGGCCAGGAACCAATATGTGGTCCAGCTCCATCAGATCAGTTGAACGAGACCTACGCCACCCCGTCCTGCCGATCGACCCATGCCATGCAACCGGATCCGTTCGCCTATTACAGAGCTTTCCTAGATACGAGCTCGTCGCAAATGCAACCGCAAACGCAAGGCCAAGGGCGCGACCGGCATTACATCGCACAAGATCACGATGATTATGCCTGCCACGATATTACCGGGACCGGAGATATGCAGCATGACATGGAATATCAGCAACAGGCCAGAGCTCGAGGCGTTCCCTACAATCTTGCCGTTCGGCTCGCAAATCGCTCCAATGGCGCGCCTCTAGCCACTATTGTGGAGCAGGGTTCCTACTCGACGCTAAACTCACATGGCTCCCTCCTCAGCGTGGGCCGCTTCCCTTCACTCCGTGTGGTGGAAAATGCCTCGCCAACGCGCTCGTCACACAGAATTCCATACACACCAGAAGAACATGTTCTCCAGCGCATCACAGAAGACGTGCAGCGAGGGCAATTGTTGAAACCACCAAGCAATACACACGATGTGCCCTTGTGCAAGGATTACAGCAACTCGTTCCGGGCTGATGATGCCGCAATCCCATCCGCGTTTCCCAGTCTTAAGCCATCGCAATCTAATACCCATCGGAATGGCAAGGCCGACTCCGACGCTAATACCAGCAATGTCAAAAGCTTCTTTCGTGGCGTTATACACAATGTTCGAGCTGCCTCGAGAACCCGGTCTAGGTCGTCCTCGACGCAGATGTCGCTCGTTGAGAACCACAGCGATCGGCCGGGTGCGAGCGACGATAGCCTACAAAGCCAATTGCAGGCATCTGACATGTCTCAACTAGGCGATGACACATTTGACATGCCATATCGTTTCCCTACTGCATCCCAGGCCCTAAGCGCGACTAAAGCGTTAGCTTCAGAGCATCAGGCCAGAAATGGGCAGTCATCCATGGCTGATCCTAGTTCCTCAGCTCATGCGATAGCGTCCAATTCTGACGTCGACCCGTATACGCTCGAGTCGCGAACGGCATTTGGAGCCGTGTCAAAGCTACTGCCACCGTCGGCTACAGTCCGCCCGCGTGAACGGTCCTCTTCTGTGCGTCTTGTGTACCCGGAAGCACGCGATGGGGCGCACGATGGCGGTAGCGCTGGAGTACCAACACCATCAAACGAGGTCAACAACCCCATCTCAGCTGGACACGCGTTTTATGGTGCAGGTAAGAACACCCATTCACTCACAGGGCATGACCACTCGACGGAGGCTAGTCACAATGCGAGCTTCTGTAGTACCATGTCCACTTCCTACTCGGGAACAGTAGTCGGTGTCGATGTCGACCTTCAGCACGACTTCCCTCATCCAGTGCGTTCCTCGCGTTCACCCACACCTGTCGCGCCAGTATGGTTTACTCCGCAAATGGCCGAGCTAGAACGGCAAGCTTCACTCTCTGAGTCACCTCCCGAGCCGGATCAAGTTGCTGAGGCAGAACCTACACGTCGCTCAATCACCTCATCCGCATTGACGTCTTTACTACCAATAGCTGCAGCATCGGGTATCGTTCGCCCCAACTACGACATACCGAAGATTTCATTCTTCTCGCCGTCCGGCAATCTTATCCAGCCAGAGGGTAGTTCGACGCCAGGCACTACGAGCGCTTCGGACTTCAGCGGCTCACCCACTGCAACCACATCGTACTACGATAACAAAACCACACCTGCGACCTATCGTGCGTTCCCGACAACGACATGCCTGCCACCCCCAAGGCCCTCTTTGAGGCCAATGACCACCCCACCCACATCGTCGGTTCCGCTCCCTATGCACCTACGTTTCCATCACAACTACAGACGCCCTGAGCAGTCGCAGATCGACTCTACGGTTGGCTCCACAGACTCATTCATCTTGCCTGCACCGTTAGTTCAAGGCTGCGACGGAATAGCGCAAACCGAAAGTCCTGCGCCTTACTCCAGACCTCGTCATTCGTACGAGAAGCCGAAGGTACGCCCGCGCTACAAACCTCGCAGATCAGCTCGATCATTCGCCGAGGACCTCAAATACGAGGCGAGCTACCACAGAGCCCGATTGATCACGGCCATCATCGCAAGTTGCACCTCGTCTGGAAAAGGAAGGGTCCTTCGCAAGCGAAAGGCTGCGAACCGTAGAGCCGCAGCAACCGCATACGTTAGCATGCCCCGGAGCTGCGCAGGTGAGGCTACAATCAGGTCCAGAAAGAAACGGATACACCCCCGTCAACCCACAGCTCGGCGCGACGTAGGGGTCCTCGGACCGCTTGCCGGGCACATACTACGGATTTGCTTCTGCCAGCCATACGACGGCGCCGGCAAGACGACAGCCAGCGGCGCTACCAACAAGACCTGCATCAGCAAGAGCAGCAGCAATCACACAAGGAACACTCGCAGCGTATCGAAGAAGGAAAGCCCTCGCTCCAACGCAAACGACGTCGACGTGGATGCAGCCTTACCCAACGCGCGGGTCGTGACCGGAACCGAACGGAAGGTCAGCAACACCGTACGCCAGCGCACCACGGTCCGCAAGGAGAAGAGACACTCGTCCACCGGCACCAGTCACCACTCCAGAACGCGCAGTGACAGTGCCGTCAGCGTGGGTGTGGCACCCAGCACCGCTACCGCGCGTGGCTAAGCTGACGGGCTAGACCGCATCCGCTGTGACAGCTGCCACACAGGTGTGTGCGGGTACGTGGTTGTTCAGTTCGGTACCGAATGTACCACAAAGAAAGCGGGTCTTGTCACATCTCATCAGAAACAGGCATTGCGGTCGTCGCTGGAAGCGGTATAGCTTGGTAGTATGCTCGTTCCGCTTTGGGAACTTGCGAAAGAAGGAAATGGACACATTCGTTACTGCTTTTGGATACGATGGAAAGTAGGATTACGCGATATGGTTAGACGTATGCTGTTAGTTGGCTCGATGGAGGTGTGTGTGGGGATGGTAATGGGTGGGATCGACAATGTTACTTCTTTTCTGAAAGGGATGGGTTGTTCCACCAATTGTGCTGCGGAATGACTCGACAGTGGTTCTTCCTGAGGACTGCAAAGTGATGTTGCTTTTGCGTATCGTTCATGTGTTCTTCTGAGATGTGAATGATGTGCATATACGCTATCATGATGGTGCTATAGGACAGGGGCAGCTACTCCACTACCCCACACGGAAGAAGCAAACAACAATACTGGTCTGACGTCTTCTTTGCTTTGATCTTCCAAGGGGATGCCGCGCTGCATATCGGCAACTTGATAGTGCATACGCAGATAACTTCAAGCATCACAACCGACGTCAGGTTACAGCATCCCACGCCTGGCGAGTAGAATGCGCCAATGCAAATTACTCGCGAGCTTCGACCGTACATGTATAAACTCGTATCGAGAGCGACCCGTCAAGTCCCGACACTGGTAACCCAGACATCACCGCACGTGTATTGTTGATATTGCTGAATAAAATGAAGCAGCCAGTGAGACGTTCCGACCACTATGATAAAACCATATTAATCGGAAGAGAGACCCGGATATCGGCGACCAACTCCAAGTATCTGGAGCCGCCAAGACATGACAACCACAACGCAGCGGTGTACTCCGCTGCCGTCTGTCATCCGTCATCCACACATACACATACATACACGCGAGGTGCTGAGAAAGCGACATGCACACCGATAACCAACATAATTTGCTCTCTACCTCGGCGTATGTCTACACGCTAACAGGCTGTCGGGTTCGTGTAAGCTCTACAACGCTTGGCTATAGAGTAGGAAAACGCATGGAAGTACCGCCTAGAACTGCCGCTTGAGCGACCCGAGAAAGCATATGCAGGTACTGCCCGGTTGAGTAACAATGCATCCGAGCCGAGGAGCTGAACCCGGTCAGCTCGACTAAGCACCGTCTCCCTTGCGTATATCAGAGACCAATAGTTGGCTAAACGCGACCATCGAGATTCACGCATGAAAGTCGCGTATTAAGCGTATCCGAATCCGAGAAACGTGGTTCCCGGTAAACAGGTTCGAAGACAACAACAAACGCCTCACTTTCTCTCCCACGTAGGGCGGGCTCGCCGAGCTCCGCGGATTCATGCAGCTGACGACAGATCGGGACATTGGGTAGTCGCGAAACCCCACAGATGAGTCTTGTTGGTGTTCGTTGTGGTGGGTGTACGGCTGTAGTACTTCATCCAGCCCCCCTGCCCGTCACGGCACTCCCGACGCCTCACGCCTGCGTTATCGACCCAGGGCGTCGGTAGCGGGGGAGCACCGCTCATTCCGGGTCAAAGGATGTAGATCCGTCCCCATTCGAAAACACGTGCATATGCCCATGACAAGCCTGAACAAGAACTTGAAAACCTGGAATTCGTGGTGCTGATCACTGACCTCGAGGTCGCTACGAAGGATTACAGCCAGGGATAGGCGAAAGCGTATGTGCGTGTCGATCATGTTCCTCTCTCTCGATGTCGTGCAGCAAGGGCGCGGTAGCTACATACAACGGTGGGCGAGTGGGTTTCGAAAGGACACGGTGACGAGAGGTTTCGGAGTCCGCGGGATGAGGATGCGAGGATCGGGCTTGGTGGTGACTGGCTCAATAAGGGTTGCTGGACTTGTCGGCCCAGAGGTCTTTCCAAAATTGGCGGAACCCATACTGCTTCTCGCGGCGTTCATCTCGCACGCGGACTGGCCCTCCAATGATGTTGTCGAGCACGCTCTTCTGGCCGGAGCTCTGCCAACTATCTGCTTTCTTGGGCGGTTTGCGTGCGCGTTCGAGGATGGCCCCGGCGAGTTGAGGCGCGACGTCGGCGAAGCAAGAGTTCAGCTCGCGCTGCAGATTGTAGTAGGGTCGTTTAGCTAGCTCGGGTGCGAGGAGGTTGTAGCTGCGCGCCTTGTCGTTGAGGTCCTTGATGGCGACTTTCCAGTAGCCGCCTTCGATACGCTCCCAATCTGGGTCGCGGAAAGGGTACGGTGCTGGTGCGACTGTTGGTTCGGGAGCTTGAACAGGTACTTCCATGGTTTCCGTGGTTGTTTCTGTTACGGTAGCTGCTGCTGGGTCCTGCGCTACAGCTTCTGGGGAGGCATCAAATGTAATCTTTTTTGCTACGACTTGTTCCGTGACTACTGGCTCCGCGTTGGACCCTTCATCTGAGTCTACCTTCAGTCCTCCAGACAAGGTAATTTGTGACATGTGCCCGTCATCGTCAACAGTGGTGAGGGTCTCTTGCTGTTTCCTTCTCAGAGGGTTGGCAATCAGCTCTGCCTTTGCGAATGCCTCAGCTGTCTTGATTTGGTCCAGCAGCGACCCGCCCCTGCTGGCTATCACGCGCGCAGCATGCCTCTTCCAGTCCGCCCGTAGTCGAGTTCTGAACTTGCTTGCAGCCGATGTGAGCTCTTGCTGCTTCTCGATCCACGGCGGTACAATCTCTTGCTTTTGTATAATCTTGTTCATGAAGTATTCGGTCGTGTCGATGAAGGGGCTCGATGCGTTGTAGTCTCTTTCGATATTGGCCTTCTTTCCGCGCGGGATGTTCTTGAACTGGCCACGAGCGATGGCATCTTCAATCCTCTTATTCGCAAGAGATGCGATGCCTTGGATAGAGCCAGGAACGATGGTGCGCGCACCTGGTTCGAAGCGGTCTTTGAGGTCCTGCAACCGCTTCTCTCGGTCGAAAGCCTCTATACTCTCGTCTTCATTGATGGAAGCGTAGACGGTGCTCCTGTCGCGTGCGTTGGCCAATCTCACGCCCCGCCCCTCCTTGCTCCGAGCATGTCCGGTGTCAATGGACTGGGGTATAGGAACACCTGGCATCTTGGCTGGTCGCCCGAGTCGCAGCGGCTTATGGGCGTCGTTCAGCATGCGTAGACTCGCGTCGTGGATGGACTCGTTGCCGGTCCAGGCTTCTGTTGTGGCAAGCTCGCGTGTGTGGCGGGAGGCGAAGGCGGGCAATTCTGCTTCAGACGATTTGAGGTTTGCAGATGCGATTCGCTGTTCGAGCTGTGCCTTGAGGTCCGCACTGAAGCCTGCCTCTTCCACAGCTTTGACGGCGCCATGTCCTCCCGACTCCAGCGCGTCTTCACTCATTTCCCGCATGCGTCGCGTGAATGCGCCTTCCTCCTTTTCGGCCTCCACGCCTGATCCATGGCCATTGTTTCCTGCGTCTTCCTGCTCATGTTTCCCGTCATCCTCGTCTTTGCGCTGTGTTGCCGTCTGCCCGTATTGCCTCAGAGGCCCTGCCGGCGCGGGTCGGGATGGAACGAAGACATTGGATCTTCGATTCGTGCGCAAACAGCGTGCGCAGATGTACTGTCTCGGAAACGCAAATGCGGGCATACAGGAGAGTCGGTGGAAGGAGATGGGGTGTTGAAGGAGTGGCGTCGTCGAATTCTCAGAAATGGCCATCTCCCACGTCATGACCTCCAGGTTTAGCGCATGGCTTATCGATAGCAACCGGCCGAGGCTCCATCAAAACACCAACACACCTTACAGTCAGACTGTATGCATACACTGTCATAACTTTATAACTGACATCTGATGGTGTATCCAAACTGGAGTATATGTGCAAGGGAACCCAACTATCCACAGCTAGCCACCCGCACCACCTTCAGCAACATTCACCAGCAAATCCAACAAAGTATGTCTCTTTTCCTTCTCACTCTTGATCATACACATAGCAGTAGCCACAAACACCTGATACAACCTACTCCTCTTCATGCGCAAGATTCTCGCACTTTCCACCTCTTCCTCTTCCGTCCCTTCCCCACTCCGAGCAAGCACATCAGGCGCATATTCATCAACCAAACGCAAGATAACAGCATCGAAGAACTCCAAACGTCCATTCTTTCTACTCGCAACAGACGACGTGTACAGCCCCAAGCATACCTCATCTCGATCCTCTTTCTTCTCTTCGGCGACAGGTAGCCTAGCGACTAGCTTCAGATGGTTGAACCGCAACAAGACACCACACGTTCGAGTCTCCTTGACAGAACCAGTTCCTTTCCAGAAGAAGTCAATACCAGCATATTGGAAGTGATAGCATCTCGTCTGACGTGAGAGAGGGTTCTTCCAACGCAGATACACCACTTCGTCGGCTGTCGCAGGTCCTTCTGGCTTGCCACTCGTCCTGGTGATAACATCGGGATCTGTTCCTTCGCCCGTCTTGCGGATGTTTTCCACGGAGCGAACGTAATCCTTCCCCGTCTCACCCCACAGCCTCCACGTCCGTATTTTGTAGCCCTTGAGCTTGTGGTGATCGCCTTTCTGCGCTTTCTTGTCACCGCCGTTGTGACGCCATGGTACTACACCGCGTGGGTCAAGTATACCGGAAATGGATGGGAGGAGTTGGAGTTTATACTCTTTCCAGAAACAGCCTTCGTGTATCAGGATAGCTGGCTGTGCGGTGTACTTGCTACTGCCTGTGTAAAGGACGCGAGGCGGTACGTGGAAAGCGAGATATGGTCGGTGAAGGAAGAAAGCATTATCGTCTGGTTCTACACTAGGCAGTCCAGCATCTTGACGCTCTTTCTTTTCCTTGTGTGTAGCCTTCTGTTCTTTGATCGTTGGGCCAGACCGTCGTTCCAGTGTATGATCGAGGACTGGTGTGATGCTCTTATGACATGCGTGCTTCTCGTAGATGTGGAAGGTCGAACTCGACTCGGTACTAGGTGGTAGCTCATGGTCATATTCCGTGGGTAGGCGGGTAGTCATCACACCTGCAGCCGATGGTATGGGTGCTGTAGTGAATTTAGTGCCCTGCTTCTGTCAACAGTTGTCTAGCATGAAGCTGTCGGTATTAGCACACATACCTTCGTACTGTCCACTCCGCCAAGCCTGATTGTACCAGTGTCATCTGACTCTATGACAGTCACCATAGCTCTTCCCCGCGATGTTCATCTCCCTACATATGGAGCCTGGCCTGTGAATCTGGCTAGCCACTCCATATATGTGGTGGTTTCGGTGGTCACCAGATGATGCGCGAGTGTCGCGCCAAGCACTGTTGTGGAGGCTGAGCCGCTCGCATTGCTCGTGTTGATGCCGGCTGCTACATCGTCCAATTGAAACCTTGTGCCATGTGTATGAGATAGTACGTGATGGCTCGATTGGCCACCGTTTTGCTAAGAAGTTGTGTAAGCACATGCAAACTGCTGAGGCAGATTTGAGGCAGAGTTCACACAAACCTGTCCAGGCGCAACACCTCCCAATGGCATGCACGGTGCACCAAGACTCTTGTGCACCGTAATGTGGTGCTTTTCGAGATTCCTCAGCAATACAATATGCCATTCCATGCTATTTACTGACTCTCAAGCACCCTCTTCGCGCCATCGCTGATGCGCTTAACCTCCTCGTGTCCCTTCTTGACCACCTCCTCCATCTTCTTCTTCGCCTTTTGCAGGTCATCCGGTAGCACATCGCGATTCAGCTCGAATTTCCTCAGCTTCTTGTTGTGTTCCTGACGCCCTTGCTGTATCAGCTTGTCTGCTCGCTCAGAAGCCTTAACGGCCGACTCGACGGCTGCGCGACGCGATTCTCCTGTCGGCGGTGGGAGAGGAACTTGGATCGTGAGTGGGTTCGAGGGTTCGGGTGTGAGAGGTGTGAGCGAGTGCGGTGAGGCGGCGATGGCGGAGGTAACGTGCTTGACGTGCTGTGAAGTGTTAGAACACTTGGTGTTGTTGTAGTAGCGACTTGACCTACCGTGTCTTCCCCGCAAATGACATTGAACATTCTTCCTCTTGGAACAACCTGCGCGATATCTCCCAGTCTCACGGTCTCTTTGTTACCTGCCGTGCCCAATTGCACTTTCAAGTTCTCCACGATTTCAGGGTTCGTCTTTCCTCCACTGCGCAGCTGACTGAGATCGTGTGTAAGCTTCTCCAGAGCCTTGAGGATCTGTGCCTCCAGGCCTGAGACATCGTAGGCTTCGTCGGTAGGTGTCAATGGGCCCGGGTTGCTGACGGGTGGTGCAGAATCGGTTCGCGCATGGGCTTTGTTCGCTTTACCGGCCTTCTTCTGTAGTTGTGTGCTTATGGAGAAGCTCCGAATGGCGTGGGACGAGCATTGTGGTGTTGGGCGCAATATAGGCCTGGTGGTGTGAGCGGGGAAGTTTGCGCAAAGCAGCGATTGAAGCTTACAGCCTGCGGCTTGGCGCCTCAATTGACCTCGAAGATGTGCATAACGGGCTTCTTGAGCTAAGACGTAGTGCGGCACGTGGTATGGTGGTGCGAGACATGGTTGCTGATATGTGAGGATGATGGCTCGCTGCCACAGCTGTTTACGCGGGCGGAGGCACGGACAATCTTCCGCACGCGACGGGGACGTCATCGCGTTCCCGAACATAATCACTAATCAAGCCCACCAATCCATGGACGGATTACACGTAACTTTCGGTCCTGACTTCCATCCCCGCATTGCTGACATGCAGACTCCTGGTTCAGATCATTGCTTGTTCCAAAGTCTAATTGCAAGGCTAGATCACGGCATGTCTCTTGGAGGCATCTCAACAGGCCTGTCACCCGTCAAAGGGTCCCGATACCAGTTCTCCTCCGGATCATCCAGGCATTCCCCTACTCTCACCAGCTTATATCCATGCGCCCGTGCGTTGTCAATCATGAACTGTGTGTATCTATGCACGGTTCCTTCGTGCGTATCGTGCGCCAGGCCTAACCAGGCCCGGACCCCGTTACGGTTCTTGCCCTTGATCTTCTCCATGAAGTTCTGTTCCGTGTAGGTATAATTACCTTCCCAGTCACGTCCATCGAGATCGGCTGCAGTCTTTTGACACAGTTAGTTTGGTCCTCTCCGTTACTCTTTGCCAACTCACCACATGGTAACCGAGCTCCCCCATTTCTTCCTGGCATTGAGGGCCACAAATGTTGAACGGCGGGCGCATGTAAGTCGGGAAGAAACCCAAGATGTCATTGAGGACAATCTCCGCTTTTATCTGTTCGTCTCTGCGTTGCTGTGGAGTCATCTTGTCCAAGTTCTTGTGGCCCCAGGTATGTCCCGCGATTTGGTGTCCTTCGTTGTATATTCTTCTAATAAGCGCAGATCTTTCGTCAAACTTGTGGGCTATCAGCTCCCAGTACAGATTGATCGTTCTGATATAGAATGTCGCTTTGACGCCGTTGGCTTTCAAGATGTCCAGCAAATCCGCTGTCCACTCTCGAGGACCGTCATCGTACGTGAGTGCAAGCGTGTTTTCCACTTTGCAGTTGAAAATCTTTGTTCCATAGGGAACATCTCCCAGCTTGGGCCGAGGAGTGTCTGATGTATTGAATCCTGGAGGCCATTGGGTGCCATCGCATGCTAACCCATAGTCCCAAAGACACATATGTTTACCAGCAAAGTTTGGATGTGTCATGCGAATACCCTATTCAAAATGATGAGTAAGGCGACAGTTAATATTCGAGGTTTCAACTACTCACATCTTTCGAGCAGCATCGGCTACACTCAGGTTGCTGAACTCCTGGTCCACATCTTCCGTAGTTGATAGTCTCAACATTGACGAGTGGATTTATCACCGGGCATATATTTCCCAAGGGAGTATAGTAAAATGGATGGTAAGCTCCCAACGCACTGTTCATGATGAATTGGATATTTGGCTGACTGATGCGGCGCTGTCCAGCTTATCTAGATCCATTGCGACCATAGCGACGCTGTGAGCCGGTTCCGCGAGCTTCGTGACTTATTCGCCCCGTGTTTAGGTTCACATCCGCAGCGGCGCGACTGCTCACCGCTTGCAGCCAAATCTCAGGGGCCAAATGTTCCAAAGCGCCGGTATGGACTAAATAAACGCCCGTTAGGCCCGATCTCCAAATGTGCAGACAAAATTAGCCGGTCTTAGACTTGGGTACCGAATGCAAAGACCGGACGATCACTTCCTCGGGCCGATTACGAAAGATGGCGTGTATTACCATTAAGTAGGCGAAAACCGTAATGTACAGAAGATGGCCAGCAAAACAACCAATAGAGCCACTTTGCGAATGCGACTGAAGATGTGTCGGCCTCTGACGCCCGCGTCAGCTATCATCGGTTCCAGACTTCAATCCGCACATCTGCCAAGGTTTCCAGAACTGTGTAGTCTAAGCCAGGTTGTTTCGCCGCTACAACGATGGCGTCAAACGATCTCAAGGCGTCGGGCTCCCAAGAACCTTCTTCCAATCTTGATACTTCGGGTATCGCCTCCTGGTTCACCAGAGGATCGCAAAACATGAGATCTACCTCTCCCGACTGTCGCATGTAGTTCAGCAACTGCAGGCCAGGTGAATGTGACAGGTCCGACTGGCCAGGCTTGAAACCGACTCCGACGACGAGAAGCCTAGGGCGGTGTGTCGAACCATGTTTTTTGTGGCACTCGTCCATCATGGTTGCGAGAAGCTGGCTGGCGATGCGCGACGGCCGCGACATCATCTTCTCGTGCGCTTGTTGGAGGAGCGGAAGATTGCATGTCGACATGAAGTAGATCGGGTTAACCGGGATGCAATGACCCCCAATTCCCAACGACGGGTACATCGGCAGATAACCAAAAGGTTTGCTGGCGGCTGTGCGTGCCACTTCGAAGGGGTCGATCCCCAGTCCCTGACAAGCGTCTGACATCTCGTTGGCGTACGCAATGGCTATCGTCCTTTGGCAATTCTCGTACAATTTTGACATTTCCGCGACTTCGGGTTTGCTGACAGGGATGACAGTGTCGAAGACCGTCTCATACAATCGTACAATGGCATCCAGCGAGCCCGGGACAATGTCGTCGAGCCCCGAGACGACCTTTGGTATTGATTTAGGCGGCGGCTCGATTCGGCCTGGGTCGATCCTCTGGTAGGTGTCAGCCAGTCCTCGTTCTTTCGGACGAAAAGATCATCTTACCTCTGGTGACATCCCCGCAAGGATGCCGCGGGATCCGGCCAGCGGCCCAAGGAGAGTTCTTGTCATGCCGACGGCGACGGTACTTTCTATGACTACTATCGATTTGCTGGTTGCGTAGCGTTGTAGCATGTCTATCGCGCTGCGGACATGTGAAGAGTCTACTTGGCCGCTCAATCCCAGGGTGGTCGGTACGCAAACGAGAAAGTGTGCCGCATCCTTCAAATCCCTCTCATCGGTCGAGAATTTGACATTGTCTCTCTGTGAGTGCTTCAATCGCAATCTTTCTATCCGGGAAGCCGAGACGTCGTATCCGATAACCTGGAATGCGGAAGAGAAGACTTCCATGAGATGTTCGCCAACATATCCCACCCCGATGATCGCAACAACGGAATCTTGATCGTACTTCTCCATAAGAATATCGTAATCCGGTGAGACTTTAAGGTCGTAGAAATTGAGATGCGCAGAATAACAAGTTCAGTAATCGCTCAGTAATCGAGAAGACGGACATGGTTTAGGGATGAGGTTATATTTGAACTCGCTAAATTACTCCTATCTTGATACTCTACTGAACGCACAATCCCACTGAGACATGCACGTATTGCGATGGCAAAATTTCATCCGGTATTGATACACTAGCAGCGAGTCTCGGTACGCGCCAAGTCTTAGCTTCGGTGCTACCAAGTGTATGAAGCGGTCCGTATGTTTGGGCTCACCGGTGTAACTCCGAACTAATGCGCGTGTTCAACATGAAAACTTCGCCACAAAAATGTGTTTTAGGAAAGCCACGCACGCAGGCACGAGACGTTACGCCGCCTGGAGGTACCTCGGTGATCAGCCCTGTCACCGTCCCTGGCGTCCCTGCGTTACACCGCCTGAAACTGCTTCGTTAGTCCGCGTTCTAGAGATTAACCAGACTTCCATTGTGGAGATGGTTAGTTTGACGCTCGTACCCTGACACATTGACCCTGAATTCCAAAAGGTACATGGCGTTTGTACAAGATACTAGAATAGCATCTTTCGCTCTTGCAGCACTCCCCGTTCACCACATCACAGCACGGGAATTCCTATCTTCTCTTCATGAAGATGGATGTCCTCAATACCGCGAGCTCGGGCGCTCAGATTGCAGGCAATCTGAAGAAACGATCGCGCTTTTTCTCTTCCAAGGTTTTGAGCAGCGCTATCGAACATCTTCCAGATGTCAATACGGATCGTCTCAGGATTGAGAAATATGTAATATGGGCCATCTTAATACCGTTCAAGTAAGTGAATCAACGCCATTACTCCCCAATGCCCATGACACGAGTTGCTAATAGATCTACTCAGCCTTTTCATAATGTACATGTTCGCAGATTGGGCAAAATATTCCTGGGTCCTCTTCCCGAACCTAATTCTCCGAGCCGTTGTGGATATGATCGAAATCACCATGGTCATCCATGCCCTCATTCGAAGGCGATTGAATCCGCCTAAAATCACGATTCCTGCAACACCGGAGAGCTTGGTCTACCTGCTTTGCTGCTACAACGAGTCGTATGCGGAGATGATGAATTCGCTGGTTTCGCTGGCGGAGCAGCAAAAGCTCGATGATCACAAGAAGGCTATCGTCGTGGTTTGCGATGGTCGTGTTAGCTGCAAGGGTATGACCAAGACGACCTCCGCACATCTCAAAGAAGATATTGTTGAGCGTCCGACTAGTACGTTCATGAAGGAGGCGTACACTGCCTGGGACGACGGCCCAATGGACATTGAAATTATCAAGGGCGAATTCCGAGGGCTTCCAATCATCTGCGTTATCAAGAACGAGAACCGCGGGAAACGAGATGGCATCATTCTCATCCGGACGTTCCTGAACAAGTTCAATCAGCGCAAGGCAAACCCCGATTTGAAGATGATCTCGCCCAAGCTCTTCGCCGAGCTCTCAGGCTTCCTCGAGACCCAATCCATCCAGAAAGTGGACTACGCTCTTGGAATAGACGCAGACACCCGATTCGACGTCAAATGCGTTCACAGTCTGATGCAAACCGCAAGGGAAGGCGATGAGATCGTGGGAGTAACCGGCTACATTCGACCCGACCCGATTGCTTTGGGAGGCTGGACAATTTCTTATCTCTACCAGAACGCCGAGTACATGGTTGGCCAGCATCGGCGTCGCCTGCGTCAGAGTCTCACAAGTGGAAAGGTGACGTGCCTGCCTGGCTGCTGTCAACTGTTGCGGGTCTGCGAGGAGACAATGGGCGACTTCATCCTGGGCAAATTCGGTTACTATCCCAAAGCTTCCGATGGTCTCTTCCGTACAGTTCGTTCCATGATGAGTGAAGACAGAGATCACGTCTGTCTCGTCATCGCACATTACGCCCACGTCCAGACGCGTGTGAACCTCAGTGCACGAGCGTACACTACAGCACCGAACACCCCTTCGGTCTTTGTCAGTCAGCGCCGCAGATGGACACTGGGGCCGCTCACAAGCGACAGTCTACTCCTCAGTCGCAAATCGACGGGCTGGATGGAGAGAGCTTCTGCTTTGGCTTCCTTGACGCATTGGGTGCAGAACCCGGCGCTTCTCATCTCACGATTCTTCCGTATGTACCACTCTGGCTGCGATTCATGAAATCTTCCTAACATGATAATAGGTGACCTGGACGATCGGACCATACTTTATATCGTGGCTTTCGAGTACTACCGACGCGTCTTCGACTTGATGATCTGCCTGATATCGTGCGATTCGTTCGTTGATATTGTCCAAACGGTCATTGGCTGCGTTGCCTACACCATATCCGGGGCCTACGTCAACGTCTGCACGCAGTTCTACACGCTGTGGAGGATGGACGATTTCCGGTGGGGTAAGACGCGTATAGCGGTTGCGGGCAAAGAAGAGAAGACGCACACTGGGTAAATCCAGGCTTCCTGGTTACGAAGCGATTGCGAAGACAAAGAGACACCAGGCTTCCTGGAAGAAGCGGATGGGGAGATTAGAGAGATTGGGCAGTTTCTTTGTTGCTTCTGCCAAAGGGTTCTCGCCCCCTGGCTTAATTCGAGCCCTGGCGCGTGCAGCCAATCGGGTCATAGCTCGTACGTCACCCTCCGCAATGTAATCATATCAATAGACACGACTTTAGAGAAACTTTCAACATCCGCATGCGTGTTTCATGGCTTTTTCTGCTTTGCTGTACTTTTGATGCAGTCTCGTTGGCGTGACAGGTTGGTGGGAGGATCGGATGAGATCATGCTGCGCACCTGAGATCTTGGAACAACCTCTTTGTTCCTTTTGCGCAGTATGACATCTCTCTTCATTGCCAGGGCTTACATGACCGCCAGGCACGGTATTGATCGCCCCTTCATTGCCGTCCTCCGTCGTACAGTTAGTGTGCTTACACCGTTCGCTCCTTGCAGTTCGCCCAACACAGATACTACGCGCGAGGTTCCAGATGTCGCTGACTGCTCGCCCTCAAGTAGTGAAAGTCAAGTTGACCGCTATTGCAGTAGCTCATTGAATGCGCGCCCAAATGTACTACTTGAAATGAGGCTCAACAGACCTTGGCGTCGAGTCAGCATAAGGTTTTCGCATTCGTCTCAGGCAGATGAGAAGGCAGCCCTGTCAATCACAGCCACGCCTGACATCACCGCCGATCAACAACGCATCACACCAACAACACCCGGCTCCGCCTATTTGCTCCGTCGCGCAATAAGACGTCTGCGCAACCAAGACTTGGGTGCGCAATCTGTTTGTCAGAATTTAGAGCGGCGGCATGTCCGTCGCGATGGCAATGCGATCATGTGTTCCGTATTTCCGTCCGTGGCCAGCGCGAGAGGCTTACTGCGGCCAGCAGCCCTGAAAGCCTCGCTGTGCCCACCCAGCCCAACCGCCTTGTTGCGTCCCGCCACTCTGGAAGGGCGGCAGAGGTTTGTACGAACGTTACATTCTGCTATACCATCTACCCGAAAGCCGGTGCTGCCGCTCTATGTAAGGCAGCAATACCCCGGGTTTCTTTCACGCCTCTTGCTGCTACTCACCCGTCTTCTCGCCCACGATCGGCCCCACTTTGTCGACGCGCTCTCACTTCACACGCGACGTGAGCGAAGTCGCCTTACATGGCTCCGCACCTCAGCTTCGCTCTGATCTGAGAATTGACAAGAAACAACAATGGCACCGCTCAGCACCATGGACATGCTGGCCATGGCGAAGCGATTCCCCGGAACGGCTACGACGCGTACTTCGCCACCAAACAGAGAGAGCATGACGACCGAGGGCGGCTTTCTCGAGGCATGGGCTCAAGGATACAATGTCGGCGCTCTGATTATCCTCATCTTGATCGTCTTCTGCAACTACCGCTCTGGCATGTGGCTTCACAAGCTTATTCTACTTGAGGTGAGTCTCGGTGTTGCTCTCCAGGCGAATTGCTTCGTCGTATATACCAATTACTAATCCACTCAGCTTGTTCTTGCCATCTGGCACGGCACCTTCATCTTCGTCGACGACCCGAGATATGGCTGGTACCTCAGCGCGACTGCAACCCTACTGTTCATATCATATTTCCTCCACAACGTCGTCTCGTGGCTGAAGATCCGACCCTTCCTACCACTCTGGGGATCTCGTTTCTTCATCATATCGCTAATCTGTGTCCAACCATTCTGGATAGCAGAGGCGTGGTCTAACTTCGCCTACTTCAATCAGCTTGCAAACGGCTCCAACATCAACCCTCGCATGCGGCCGTTTGAGGCTTTGCTGCGCGACCCCTGGTGGATCTTCACAACATGGAAGCTGATACATGCCATCAAGAAGACCTACGCCTTCAGTTTGTGGACTCTTGTCGGTATTAACAGGAGGTTTGGCGTCATGCTGGCCTGCATGCTACTCTCCATCGTGTTCCTACTCACCGACGTCGCCGTCAGCGCTGCGAAAGTCACAGCCAGTAGCGGCATCAACCCATACTGGCGGTTCGCCCTCGTCTTCAAGTGCGCATCCGACACCATCTTCCTCGACGACTTCAAATCTATCCTGGACGATATCGTCGCCCGCAAATTCACCTCCGGTGATGACTCTGGGCGCCGCCGTTCGATAACCGGTATCAGCCGCCCGAAGAGCTCCCGCTCAACCTCCCGTAACGACGAGTTCATCGAATGTAGTAATCTCGAGCGACCCGAAATGCCACCGCTGCACGGCAGCCAGACCAAGATGACCACGCGTTCGAAATATCGCTCGGCTTTCTCCAGGAATCACAACGTGCCAGAAGTCCCGGCCATTCATATACATCACGCTGATGCCGATCAGCCAAGGAGCCCAAGTCAGGATAGCTGCGATAGTCAAGGCCCTGTATTGCCTAGGCCAGCGCATACCGTTTACCGAAACCCAGAGCTGCGGGCAAGCGAAAGCGATGGTAGCTTGCTGATTGGTAGACTCGTCTGATGAGTTTGAG